TAGAATGCGAGCAATGGACGGGCGAGAACCAGACGCTGTCGCCAAATCTTATTTGAGATGTCTACCGAAGATAGAACCTAAACCAAAAAGAATTCTAGGAGAAAATAAATGAGGCCTAAGAAGAGGGAAAGACACCCAAATTGGCACAACCGGCGAATCTACTTCAACATCCAAATGGGGAGACCATTTTACCACTTTCATATAGCAATTTTGAACAAAATAAGATCTATATGAAAATATTCTGCAATAATCAAAATCATTCACCAGTTAAATCAAAACATTTCGGTGATTGAAAACGGTGACTGAGAAATCCCCAATCAGCTTTAAATTGAAGCAAAATTTACGGATGGCGTCGACCGACGGCCTCCGCCCCGGAAAACGACCAACCAACGAAAATTCAAATGGCTTCGCAAGCGCCCGAATCTCCTCTTCAGAAATTAACAAAGCCGGCAATCCACGATGAGAAGAAAAATTTAGATCAGGCCGAGTAAGCAGAAAAAGAGATACCAGAAACCGCATCCTTGAATGAAAGAGGGGCCGCAACCCCACCCAAAAAACCAGGATCCCGCAACCGAGAAGACGCCATACACAAACACAAGAAAAATCTAACGATTAAAAGGGACAGAAGCTCTCACCGACGAGGAAGAAGAAGCGGCGGCGGAAACCTAACCCTAGCAGAGCAGGCGGCATCGTGAAAAACTTACTCTAGTTGAGAATAACGTCACTGATGTTATGTTATTATACGTTAGATCTACTGTTTTTAGTGATATCTTAGCTTATTTCTTTCTCCTCATATTTGTTGTTTCCCTCACATTGTTCTCTTGCTACAATCCTCTAAGACGCGATAGTCGGATTAAGGCTTTATTTGAGATAGTTTTTTTTTAATATTTTTTAAATTATTTTTTTAGTATAAAAATTTCAAGTTCCAAAAATCTTTGTATTAAAATTTTGTTTTAAAAATTACTAAGAAAGGTGTCTCAACCGAAATCTAAGGCTTTGTTTGGGGCAACTTTTTGTTGCTTTCTAAATCAGCTTTCTAGTAAAAAAAATTATTAAATTAGAACATGTTACTAAAACACTGTTTTGAGAAGCAGAACAAAAGTTATCCTAAACTAAGCAGTGTCAACATATTGACCATGAATAATTTTGAACCCAACGACATAAATTTTAAAATCAATAAATTTATTTCAAAATAAGTAGTATATATATAATGAATTTAAAACTCATTCTAACTAAAACATAATTAGTCTTTCCCCAAAATAATAATAATAATAATTAATCTATGCTAATTCGGATTTTATTAAAAGAACAGCTCAGCCGTCCGTATTGAACCAATCAGCTGCAGCCCGCCCGATGACTGACAAAACCTTGTGGTCCCCACTCCCCTCCCAATAGCTTCTCCAGCAATCTGCCTTCAAAAATTCAACCCTATAAAGGAAGAAGAGGCAAGCCCTGTTGATTCAGTAACCTGTCTTCTTCTAATCGTATTACTTAAGCTCGCAGTGATATCAATGGCCGGAAGAGGAAGAGGAAGGGGGAGGGGAAGGGCTAGTGGAAGAAAGGAGACAAATTCATCGAATTCTGATAAGAAGGTTAAGAAGTCACGGAGCAGCAAGGCCGGTCTTCGTTTCCCGGTCGGCAGAATCGCCCGCTTCCTCAAGACCGGAAAGTACGCCGATCGAATCGGCGCCGGCGCTCCGGTCTACCTCGCCGCCGTCTTGGAGTACCTTGCCGCTGAGGTCTATCTTAATTCTTCCAACCTGTTTCAGAGTTTGACCTTCTAAATTTATGTTTAATATTTTTGGAGTATAAATATAATATGAAAGTTTTAGTTATCTTTAATTTGGGAAAATTTAGAAAAAAGATCTAATTAAATTTTAATTGAAAAAAGAATATCATTATATTATAATATATTTTATGTAGTAAGAGATTATTTTCATGTCACATATTATCTCTCAATTCACTTAAATTATTAGATAATATAATTAAAATATTTAGACAAATACAATTAAATTATTATCCATTCATCATACATTTTTACTAAATTCATTATCTAATTAATTTAGGAGTAACAATAATGCATGTAATTAATGATAAATCTTAGAAAAATAATCTCAAATGAATTCAAAATATATCAAGATATATGCTTTTGCTGACACATTTTTTCTTTTAATTAAATAAACTTTTTACCCAAATTTATTTTAAATAAGTATAATTTATTCTATTAGTCTTAAAATAAAATTAATAGATAAATGAGCAAATATACAAATCGAAAAATTTCCATAATAAAATTAATTAATATAAAAATTTAATTATCTTAATAAGTAATCAAATCATAATTAATTTATTTCTCCTCTTGATTAATTGAATGCTCAAAACTTGCCTATTATTCTTTTAAAAAATCAATTTACTTCAACTCAAAGCAAAACCAATATGGCTTCGGCTTTGTTTGGGACGGCTTTATTACTATTTTTTTAAAAAAAATTTAAGTACAAAAATTTTTAGGATCTACAAAGAATTTTTTGTACTGAAAAGTTAATTTTTAAAATTAAGCATTAAAAAAGCTGCCCCAAACAAAGCCTTTGTTTACTTTGAATCTTCTGTATCTAATTCATTGTCACCCCTACAACAAAATTTAAGCAGATTTTAGAGCTGGCTGGAAATGCAGCAAAGGATAATAAGAAGACGAGGATAGATCCTACGCACATCCAGCTTGCTGTGAGGAACGATGCAGAGCTTTCTAAGCTGTTGGAAAATGCCATAATTCCTAATAGTTGTGTGATGCCCTTCATTCACATTTTCCTTATTACTCCAACTACTCAGGACTTTGATGATGATACGGAATGATCGTTTGCCAGCTCTTTTTGTTCTACATATCTTGTTAGAATTTTTTATGTGATCCAACTTCTTTCTATTTGTGTGCTTTTCTGTTAATTTTTAGGTGTTCTTTTCTTTAGTTTTTTGTATGGCTTATATTGCCATTAATGTTGCCATTTGTGTTTATATATAGATATTATAAGCTGTAGTAGGAGATATATAGTTAAGCAATCAAATTTCATGTCGGTTTTCTCCTACTCCACTTCCCTCTCCTTATCCTCCTCTCTCCCAAGAAGTTAGAAAAGAGAGATTGAGCAATAAGCACTACATGAAAAATGTCAATTTCCATGAGCTATTTTTCGTCGAAAAATGACCAAAATCCGCTGGAAATTAGTATTTCCGGCGGATTTCCTGCAAAAATATTTACGTCGGTAAAATGCACGTAGAAAAAGTGCTACCGAAGTAAAACAGTCGGAAAAAGAAAAAAGAAAAAAATAAAACCTGATCCCGCTGAAGCGCCCCGTCTAGCCTAGCTAGGCTCACCCGCCCTAGAGCTAGCTCACTCGTGACCCGATGCCCACCACTTGCTGTGCGGGGCCCGTGACCCACTGCCCAGCGACCTGCCTAGCTCAACTGCGACTTGCTGCCCACTCCATGACCCGCCCGCAACACTTGCGCCTAGCTGGGTTCGAATCCCCACCCTTTATAGCAAACCCACTATCCACCAAACCACCATGCTACGCCACTACACAACATGAATAAAGCTATGAGTTGTTTTTTTCATATTAATAAAAAGATCAAATTGTTAAATATTTAATATATTTAATATTAATTTAAAATTAATAATTAATCTATTTCAATATATATTTTATCATACAAATATTTAAAAGCTGAGTTTTATATTGCTATTTAAAAGTAATTAACTTATATAACAAAAATCAAATAATTTACTATATTTAAAAGCTTGCAGGTTTTTTAGACCTCAAAGAAAATTATTATATTTAATTTCCAGCAATCGTTATTAAACTATTTTATTTAAATTACCTTTTATTTATCGCAATATCTATATTTTAATTAACAAATAATAATTTCTAAAATATATATTAATCTGTCATTTTTCCAAAAAAATAGATTAATTTCTGTCGGGAAATCCGCCCGTAAATAAAGCCAACAGAAAAAAAGGAACGGAAACTCCGTCTAAAAAAGTTCGTCAGAATCGTCAAAACATCCGCCAGACACAAACTTACGAAAAAACATTAACTCGAAAACCCTTTGATGGATTTATTATTCGCCTGGAAATCAACGTTTTTCCTGTAGTGACCACATGTTTTTCCCATACAAAAGATGAACATTCTCAAAAGAAGAATTGTTCAAATAAAGAGAAATTTGGAAAAAATGTAATACGGTGTTTAACTCAACGGTGACATTAACTTGGTCCTCGTAGCAAATTCAGGAGATGAATGATTCGATTCGCAGGAGTTTTGTGTCAATTGGTAGAAGTTGGATCAAGGTAGAGATTATTAGAGTTTTTTGTGTGATTCAACTTATTTCTATTTATGTATTTTTCTCTTAGCTTTTAGGTGTTCTTTTCTTTAGTTTCTTGTATGACTTATATTGCCACTGATGTAGCCATTAGTGTCTATATATTGACACTATAGACTGTAATAAGAGATATGGTTCAGCAATAAAATTTCAATTTTTTATTTTCTCCTACTCCCCTTCCCTCTCTCTATCCTCTTCTCTTCCAAGAAGCTCAAGAAAGCTTCTTTCCACCCCAAGAATCTTAACATATCTCATGTGCAATTTTATTTTGAAGAAATTAAGAAAAAAAAGTTCATGAGAATATAAAAAAATGTTCATTGTGATTTTCTTTTGGTGCCTAATTTTTCTTTAGGATTTCATCTGGAACAGCTTTCTTATTGTTTTCTAAATCATTTTTTTGTACAAAAATTTTTTATTCAAGAAACTTTTGCTCTAAAAATAATAAGAAAACCGTCCGAAACGAAACTTAGGTAAGTATGAGAAATTGGAAAATGAATATGATGGCATAAATTACTTTAATTATTATTAGAATCAGAGATGTTATACAATACATCAGGATTTGAATTCTTTACGTACTGTTTCCTTTCTTTGCATTTCTTATGCGCTTTTTTATATGGCAATTATTTCAAGAGAACTAATATTCCTATCTCAACTGTAGCACCTCAGTTATTGGCTTTGCCGTTTTGTTTTTTTTTTTTGTTTTTTTTTTT